CCCCAAAACCCCAAAACCCCAAAACCCCAAAACCCCTTTGGTAACTGAGAAGATTGAAAATGGATTATTTTAGGGGTTAGATTGGGTTCAGGAAGTTTTTTTTGTTAAGTTTTTTGACTGTGGGGTGAGGATGGAGGGTACTGAGTTTTGGGTGGGGATTTTGGGAGGAGAGATGGGGTTTGGGGAAGGTATTTGAGATGGCTGATAGGGATTTTTCGAGGTTGTTGGGGATGTGAGATGATTTGTTGATTATTTCGTTGACGAAAGAAGTGTTATTACTGTTTTCGAAGGAATCTAGGGGTTTAGGGGTGGTGAAGTACCGAAGCTCATGGAAGCAAGATGTCTCATTCTTTCTTTTGATGTTGTATTTGTGATTTTTGGGTCATATTGCATGTCTGCTGACTGTAAATACTCATCTGTTAACTTTTTAGCTTTCTTTTCTTTAATAAACTCTTCAATTTTTCTTGTCTTATTCTCTTGAAATGTGTTAAATTTCCTCAAATAATGACTATTAAGCTCATTTACTTCCTCTTTAGCTCTAATTATATCCTCTTGCATTGCTCTAAGCTTTGCTCTATGTGTAGATTCTTTATCTTTAAGTATATTCTTGACCATTTCAAGCTCTCCACTGACTTCAAAGCAGTCAATGAAACTGAGAACACCAGAGATTTGAAAAATAAGCTATAATTGTAACTAAAATACATACTTTAACCATCTCTCAGCCATCTACTGCATAATTGATGACTTTGGAGTACATCTTCTTGATATCATTTCTAACCTGAATGAGTTCAGCTTGGCTATAATTCTTCTCATTTTCATATTCCTCCATGATACTGAAAAAGTTATCTTTAATAACCTCTACTACTCTTGGAACATCTTTCTTCCTCCCAGTATCTTTCAGCTTGATCTTAAACTCTCCGTCAGAGCTGAGGTTAGATGTATGTGAAGACCTGCTGTCTTCCCAAGAGTCTCCACTCTCTTGCTGAGAGCTCTCACCATCGTACTTATTATGCTTGAATTCTACCATTTCAAGAAGTCTAGCGAGGTGGTCTCTTTCTCTCTCAGCGTTTTGTACCATCAGGTTTGCTTTACGTTTAATTTCTTGTTCTGATAGCTTTTCTTTATCTATATTGAAGGTGTCCAGAGTTTGGATGGAGTGGGATTTTTTGGGGATCGAAAGAATGAGTTTTGGAATGAAATTTTTTAGAAATTTTGTGGTGTGAAGGTTGAGTTTTTAGTATAAGATGAAATGTATTTGGGCAGATTTTGAGGTATTTGGATTTTTGAGGGTGAGAGCTTCTGAAGGCTGATAACTGGTATATATAAGCAAGTTGTATCTATAAAGAGAATGGAATATTTCTTGCCATTTTCGATAACATAACTTTTAGCTATTCAAAAATCCTATTAAGAAACAATTAATTTTATTAATTCATCTACCTAGTGACAGTAGAATAGCATACAACTATATTTCTAATTTTTAAGTAAACTAATCTTATTTACTCTAAAAACATCACCAAATTTTTAATTTCCAATTTATGAATTATTGAATTCAGCTCTAAAATACCCACTTATTGTTAAACCACAAACTATGAAGAAGGTTGTAATATAGCACTATATCATTAATTACTTAAAAGTCCTCATTTAAGTTCACATACGGTATAATCTGGAGATTAGAAGCACTAGAGATTAGTAGAAATTCAAATAGAATCGAAAATCCATTGGAAACACTAGACATACGAACTTGAAGAAATTAATAACCCTTTTGGTATTCACAAATAATTCTTGATGCTTCTAGTAAGGGCTTTGGATTTTATGAGTGCCAAAGAAAGTTCTAGGAATGTAAAATTTTAAATAGCAATTAAGATCTAAGAAGAGTAAAATAATTTTGGCTGCTCTTAACCCCATTTTTCTAATCAATATTTGAACTATTCTAGATTCATTTGAAAGTCTAAATCTGATAGCAGCCATGATTTCATTCGTCTTCTCAGATTTTATAAATGCTTTCTTCACTTATAGATGCAAAATAAGCAATTTCATCATTCATGTCAAAAGAACTTAACTGATCAAATTCAGAGATGCAAAAACTTAGATCTAAAAAAAATCCAAGAGCCTTATTTCAAAAACACATAATCTCCAAATCTCCCATACTGTTAATCCCTCCGCAACACTAAAATCCCCTGTTCCCTCTATACCTGTCCCTCTTTCTCTTTTGATCTTCCCAACCTCTTCCTTTATCATCCAGCTCTCTTGACTCATCTTCTCCAGCCTCTGCTCATTAGCCTCAAGTCTTTCCTCTATTGTATCTATACTTAACATCTTAGTAAGATTGAAAAGTGGGAGAAGGGGCAAATGAGTATGGTTGGGTATCATTAGTAAAGATTGTGAGTGTAATAAAGCGATGTGAAGCCTTAATTTTTAACAAACCTATAACTTTACACTTGTCCAAAGAACTTTTAGAGAAAGATCTATTACCAAAATGTCAGTGGAGTTGTGAACGGGGCTAAGTGGGAAGAGAAATGGAGAATTGGGGAAGAGGCTTACTTGTGGGAAGGAGTGGGGGTGAGGGCATTTGGAGGGGAGGGATGGAGGAAGGGAGTTCGGGAGGGATGGTGTTGGGGGGGTGGTCTATGGGGGATGGTTGGTGAGATCAGAGGGTAGAGAAGGGGGTGTTGGAAGGAAAGGAGAGGATTGGGGTTATTGGGGTCTGATTTTGATTATAAATGAGTATATGAGTGATTTTTTTGGGTAAGTTTCTTTTGATTAGTTCTTTTTGTTAATTTAAAATGAGGATTTTAGATTTATAAACTTACCTTCTCTCGTTTTCAAGATTAAGAAGCTCAATAATTTTAGCTTGCTGGGATATCTTCAAATTGGCTTTTTCCAGAGCCATGGATAAATGATCGATTTGAGCTTTAAGAGTTGTATTCTCCTCTGTAACATTTCTCAATCTTTCTTCAAGAAACTCCATTTGAGCGCCAAAAGACTCTAAAAAACTTAAACCAAGCCCCATTTCCCACCCTCACCTTGTTCCTCCTCTTCCTGCTTATACTCCTCCGTATGTACAGAGCTAAAATAATCCTCTTCGTTAAACCCCTCCATATTCTCTTACTAACAAATAAATATTAACTGTTTTCTATTTTCTTCTAACTGAAGGGGTTTTGGGGTTTTGGGGTTTTGGGGG